GAATGAAATGGAGGTGACGTTCCATGATTGGAAACGCATTGTGGCCAGCAACGTCAACAACATTCGATAGCCTGGCCGATTCCAGTATTCCAGTATAATGTGATGAGGGGAACGAAATAAAGCCGGATGCGAAATTTGTAATTGGGGATCGCGAATCGAGATTCTGAAAAAAGCCCGTGACACGGTCGTCGATATTTGTAGTTCCTTAGAACCCAGTAATTCATACTATCATTAGCACCAACATAAGCAGCGTATGAGCTTGGTCAAGGAGGATCTAGGGAAATATTTGTGATCATTTTGTTGAATATATTCATAATTTGAATCATCTGACAGTGAATGAATTCTGGCGTATATCTGCAGTAGCGTTTTCAACTGGATATTGTGCTTCAGTAGTTACGTAATGGATGAAATTTGTTGAGATTAGAATTTGGTTGTTGGGATTTGAGGTGTGGAATTTAGATAGGTATAGTTTGTTTGCTGGCTTGAAATGATGCGGTTGTGAAAAAGTTGTTTGCAGTTCATTTGGTTAGTGTTCAGTTGAGTTGAGTGGGGCTGTTTTTTGATGGGGAATGAATAGTTTGTGTTCACTTCCGTTTTGTTTTGCTTGTTGCAAACAGGTATGTTGGTTGGTTATTTATTGAGTGGGATCGTTGCTTTTAGAAGTGGATGGATGGATGGATGGATGGGTGAATAGATCAATTGCTCATGATGATCATTGTTGTCTCATTGTTTCGGAAATCTTTGCCGAATTCCGAATTTTTTCGCGTCCATTTTCCTCTCTTTTTTTTTGGGGGGGGGGGCATCGTTAACGTTTCAAACACCTCACTCACTTAACGTTCAACTTGTCAATAAACGAAAGGAAATTGGATCGTACACTCAGGCGTACGTGAGTAATTTCATATGAACCTGAGTTGAGCTGATTGATTGAATGCACTTGTTGTGTGTGTACTCGATATGTTAGGTTAGGTGCTTGGGTTGTGCTGATGTCAGCTTATTGAATTGACTCAACTCGCTGTGGGTAAGAGTATGAGACTGTTCTCAGTTCAGGCTCACATGGAAATTTTCAGTTGTAATTGAGTATTATCCTGTTTGTTAAGCTCTAAAATGATTGTGAAAATCTATTGTTGCCATGAGTAGTTAATGCGTTTGTTTGGTGATTATTTACGATTAGTATCATTATTGGAGCTGTTCTATCTACACCGATATCAGTGTGTTATCATTATTTCGATTGTGTTGTGTTGACTGTTCAGAGTGTTTCAGTCTGTTCCCATGGTTGCTGAGAGCGCATTTATAAAATTATAATACCTAGATGTGATATATCCGCTAAATGCTTCTTGAAATCTAGATTACCTGCATTGGCAAGCAGGCTATCAAACGTTTATAACGTTGCTGGCCACAACGCTCGCGTTTCCGTTCGCACTGTTTTAGCCTTGATTTTAGCCACCCCGCTGGCTAGGCGAGCAGGCCAAGTGAACACAACCGAGTATTAAATTACTTGCCGTGAATGCTTTGCATAATTAAACGTAGCCAATCCTGAAATCTACTGCTTATAATAATAATAACAATATGATTAGTGCATACTGATGGTGTTGTTCGATTACAGCTCCACAACGACGGGTAATAATAATGACTCAGCGCTACCTGAGGAATTGGTATTTATTGCTGAGAAATATCAGTACAATTTCTGTGATAATAATAAGTCGTTGCAAAAGGATGTGATCGAACTGAAGAAAAACATTCGAATGGCGCTCAGCAAACAAATGCGTATCAAACAGGGTTATGTTCAAATGCAGGTGAGTGAGTGGTTTTGTCGTTTTTGATCAGTTTGCATGTGTTTAGCATATCACCTGAAGTAATTAACTCATGCAATGATTTGTCTGTTTTCGTACATTTCAAAAGGACATAAACGTGTCTTTAAGATTCGTCTATCTCCAAAAGAGTAATGAAACGTGAACTGTGCTATCATCAAAGATCACAGAGTGCATATGCACTCTTAGAGCAAAAATTGCTCATTCGTCCGATTAAAAATGTTTTCATTTTCGTGGTTTTCATCAGTTTATTTCACGTTTGATGGATGAGAGAGAATACGTTGCTTGTTCATTGAAAAGAAAATCGAACCCATTTTTTTCCTTTCTTCCGTTGAGAACCCATTATTCAAATGTTTGAAGATAAAGTTGAATTTTTTCGGTGAGAAATTTTTCGCGATCAAATATGAAATTTTTGATGCATATTAAGGGTGTCCAGTGAAAATTTTTATTGCTAATTCAACTTGTTATGAATAAATTGTATTCAGAAAGTAACAAAAGAAAGAAAGCAAAATGAATTTCTGAAGAAGGAAATTCGGGATTTGAGTGATCAGATTAGTGATATGCAAGATGATCTGCAAACACTGGACATGTACGATACTGGTGCATTCGGTAAGTCTTATGAGTATTGATGTTTTAATGATAGTAATTTTAGTTGTTATTGCTATCAATATAGTTATTGTTATTATCAGTAGTAAACAATGTGACTTGTCATAGTTATTACTTATTTAAATAATCACTCTTCGTTATTGTCGTTTTTTATTGGTTCAAATAATTTTCAGCCGTTTGCGTGTTGCTAGAATTCTGTTTGGTTCTCTTTTTCAATGCTATGAATTTTTAAGTGTCTTTATTTATTTCCACTGCCCACTAAATTAATCCAGTGTGACCGTAATTAACGATTCACAACCCATTTTTATCATGTCTGTCGAATGATATTGTTCGCATTCCGACTGCTTTCAATCCCACTGAGTATTGCTTGAAATGACTCGTCGAAGTAGTTAAATTGCAAAGTTGCCGATGTGAAACAATTAAACAGCTGAATTCATTTGTGAGACGAAAACAGTTGTATGGGTGCGGGAACGGAGATTGTTTTGGATGAGATGAAATGGTAGAAAAGGAAATAGTCGCGAGTTTATTCGTCTGAAAATTCCTTTGAACGGATTTATTTTTATCGAATTTTTTGTTGCATCACATTCTGAGTCATAAAGTGAAGGCAGAAGTTCATTTCATTTTATGGAATGATTTGATGATGAGATTGGCGAAGCCAATGGAACTGTTCCCATTAATTCATGGTGGTTACTTTAGGTTTATCTGAATTTATATATATATATATAT